TAACAGGATGAAAATCTGTATTTTTGAACAAGAAAAACTGTTCCTAGATTTCAGATAATGTGTATTTTTTGTGTGTTTCGGTATTTATTCCTATTAGATTGTTCAAATTCAAGAGATTAACATGAAATTTTGCAGGTTAAACATGTCAACAATGACTTGATCGAAATACTTTGCTAATACAACTTCATCTAGAAGAATAACATCACCCTAAACATCAGAATATAAGGTTTACAACACAATGATATTCCACTTCATGAGACATCACTAAATCAAGGATGTAGATGTGTGGATTATGCTTCAGAGGACATTGTTTGTTGTTCTGAAAACATTCAAGCATGAAATATCCAAAAACTTTTTTCTGGAGTGATTTAATATTATTGTTATTATTATTTATTATTTATCCTTAGAGTTTCTAGTGAAACATAAGGCTTCAGTAGCACGTCGCCATCTCACTCTCTTCTCTGCAGTCTTTTCAACCTGGCTCCAAAACTACCCATTTCATTTCTTCCTCACACGATCTCCTCTATGTCACTCCCAGCTGAGGCACCCAACTCGTCGTTTCCCCTTTAGGTTCCACTCAAGGACCTGAGCTGCTGTGTGGTGTCCCCGAATGGTCTTATCAGTGTATCTCCAATCCATCTCTACTTCTTTCCCCATATTTGTTGGGTGATGGATGGGATCTTGGTTGTTCGTTGCCAGCCAGCCAGCCAGCCAGCCAGCCAGCCAGCCAGCCAGCCAGCCAGCCAGCCAGCCAGCCAGCCAGCCAGCCAGCCAGCCAGCCAGCCAGCCAGCCAGCCAGCCAGCCAGCCAGCCAGCCAGCCAGCCAGCCAGCCAGCCAGCCAGCCAGCCAGCCAGCCAGCCAGCCAGCCAGCCAGCCAGCCAGCCAGCCAGCCAGCCAGCCAGCCAGCCAGCCAGCCAGCCAGCCAGCCAGCCAGCCAGCCAGCCAGCCAGCCAGCGAGCCAGCCAGCCAGCCAGCCAGCCAGCCAGCCAACCAGAGTTCCTTGTTGCTTATTCTTTCTGGCCATCTGATCTGATCTTCAGTATCGAGTGAGCGTAGGCGACAGCTGTTGATGAATATCTGTTGTTTGTTGGAAACGTTTTTCGTAACGCGCCAAGTCTCCTAACCATCACATAGAAGCACTGACTTGACTGAATTAGTGTTGAGAATCCGGATCTTGTTCACGCTTTATGCTGAGTGCAGTAGATCTCCACACTGATTTCAGATTAATGACGGCCTGTCTTGCTATCTTACCAATCCTAACTTTGACATTCCTTATCTGTGCTTGTACCGCCTGTAATTGAAACGATGCTGGTTAGTTAGGTGAACGAGACTACTTCCTTTAGGTTTCTCCCGTTGATGGTGGTTTGTACTTGTTGTTGATGCTGTTGTTGGTTGGGTATCTTCATCACCACTGTCTCCTCTGTGTTCACTCGGAGTCCCGTCTTCCATGCCCTGCCTCTTCTGTCAACTTGTAGGTTTCCGCCTGTAGATCTTCGATTTTGTGCGACATTAGACACAAATCATCATCGGCGGTGAAATCCAAATCTTCTAGGCTCTTTTCATCGTTCCAGTCAGCGTATGTATGCCCATCTTCGCACAGCTCCTCACAGTTCGCTGTATGATCCAGTCGATCACATCCAAGAAGATCATGGGTGATAGTTGGCGGAAACCTTGTCATACTCCTGTCTTCACTTCAAAGGCGTCGCTTAGCTTTACACTATGAATCACTTGACATGTAGCATCGTATAGCATATAACTGTTGAACGAGGTTGATAAAGGTTTGTGGCACTCCGTAGTGTTGAAACAACTGCCAAGTTACTTCTCGGTTGACGCTGTCAAGAGCCTTTTCAAAGTCGATGAAGTTGAGGTAGAGGGTTGACTACCATTCTATGTTCTGTTCTATGATGATGCGTAGTGTTGCAATTCGGTCCGCATATGATTTGTACTTCTTGAAGCCAGCCCGCCTGTTACGGCCGTAATTTTGAACCCACTACATCTTTTAGTCTCTCCACGATGATGAGGCTTAATATTTTGCTTGGGGTGGACAGCAGCATGTTTTCGCTCCAATCCTTGCAAAACCTAAGCTGAGGTCTCCCTTCCATCTGGTCCTGTTGTTTTCATGGATTTCAGCGACTTTATGGCGTTCATGTCCTCACTTCTGCTCTTGTCGGAGGGCTTGTGCTCACTGGTAATTCTGTGACTAGGTTGTTGGTGGTATTTGTGGACGAGTCGCAGGTGGTGGTGGTGGTGGTGGTCGATTGAAGAGCTATTTGAAGTGGTCAGTCCATTGTTTCCTTTGTCTCCCCTCTCCCTTTGGTGACTAGGTTTCCTTCACCATCTTTCATTGGTCTCATCTGTGTTTATCTCTTCCCATATGGTAACCTGCCGCCTGTTCTGCTTCACCTCCCAATGTGTTGTGGAAGTGTCTTTTGTCTGTGAGCTCACTCCTCTCCACTTCTTTGTCCAGTGTTTGATACCTAGTGTCCATTTCCGCTTTTCGTCGTTCATCCCCACACTACACTACACTGCACTGGTTCATCTTCTGCTTCACCATCTTCCTCTCCCTGCTCTGACAGCTTCCATGTGTCCGTCGAGATCCATTCCTTGTCTTGCCTCCTCTTCTTCCTTCCCAATACGGTTATGCTGGTTTCTTTCCACATCGCTTTCAAAGAGTCCCGGTGTTGTCCCACGCAGGTTTCTTCAGCGATGTTGCTAAATGCCTCCCATTTTGTCCTGATTACTGGCTGACGTGAAGATGTCCTTTGTAGTTTCGTCCTTCAGTTCGGTCTCTGTTCTGGGTGTTGAACTTGGACTGTGGTCGTCTATTACCAGCTTCTTTGGTTTTGGCTTTCGACTTGATTTGGAAGGCGTGTTCCCTGCACTAGGTGGTGAGTCGTGTGAACTTACATCTGCTCCCCTTCTTGATCTGATCTTGTGTCCAGTAGGCCGCGTCTCCATCCCCACTTTCTTCACATTGAGATGAAGTCGATCTGATTTCCAGTGTAGTGTGTCCTGGTGTCTGGTGAAATCCATGTCTCTCGCTGCCTTGTGAATATCCTTGTGTTTGTACACACTCCCTCCAATCACTGAATCGTTGAATGCACAGAATTCTGCAGACAGTTCTCCATTCTCATTCTTCACTTCACTGAGTGCTTCTCGACCTATGACAAGTTCTCGTCCTGCGTTGTTCAGTCCCAGTTTGGCATTCATGTCGCCCACTAGAATTTTGATGTCGCCAACTGGAGTCTTGTCCAGCACTGATTGCAGTTGTCTGTAAAACCCCTGCTTCTTCTCTAGATCCGGATTATTTGTGGGCGCGTAGTTTAGCATTGTCTGATTGTGACTTTCCTCCCTTCTGAGCCGAACCTTGTTGTCATGATCCTGCGGGAGGAGATTGGCTCTCACTCCACGGAAGCCTTCGATGCTCTTGGGGACATCATGATAGCCGCTCCACAACTCAGTGTGCTTTTGGTTGTTGTCTGGGTGACAATATCGTAGTAGATTATTGACTCCCTAGTTGACAGTTCGGAGGGTCCACTTGCATTCCATCTGATTATCCTTTGCAGATTCCTAGCACTTTTATACTATACCTTCCCATCTCTTTGGCAATCTGGGCAGTCTTGCCAGCCAGCTTCAAACATGGTGCGGTCATTCCATGTCCCTATGTTTACTTTCGCTTTCATCGAGAGAGAGAAAATGCATCGTCCAGTTGGCTTCCCGAAGGCTTTCATCAACCGGCGTCATTTCTTCTCCACGATTCCAGCGAGGAATAAGTTTAGTTTAATTTTTTGTATTTTGTTTGTGCTTTGAAGTTTCTTAAGCGGTTGGATTGTTTTTAAGGGGTAGGGTTGGTATCCGTATGCCCAACCTTCTCTCTTTATGCGAGCTTAGGACCGGCTAGTAACTAGTGAACTAGTTAAAGAGGCGTGTTTTCAGGAGTGATTATCTCATGAAAGAAATTAATGTTGACGTTTATTATTATCAAAGCAACATGTCTTCTAAATATTTTCAACACATTGACTGTGTTATGCACGCATTTTCGTCTCTGAAAGTGATTAATTAGATGAAGCGAAATAGTATTTATACTGATACTCAGTACTAATACTAATACCACGGCTATCACGGATGGCCAAAATGATAATGAATTTAATGCTCGTCCTTCAGTTAGACTTGGAGTGGGATGCGAAGTCCTGACTAGGCAGCCTGTATGAGTACGATCAAGCGGTAGTAAAGCATCACAAATTCACGCGGCAGTTGGTCAAAACACCTGGTGGTTGAAGTTAAATAAAAATGTGGTTGACAGTCGTGCCTTGTAGTCCAGTTAGTAGGGCGCTGGGCAGGAAACCCGGCAGTCGCTGGTTCGAATCCCACCCTGGTAGAAATTTTCATTTCACCTCCCACCATCATTCGCTATCAATACCTTGTGGTATTTATTAAGTCAAGCTTTATCGTACGTATTTAGTCTTATTTTGCAAAAATGGGACAACAGCTGCCTTTTTTATTATACACTTTCGACAATATTCTTATTCCTTATGAATTTATTGCTATTTATGGTCTTGTAAGCATAAGTTTATCAACAAAAAGTTGATTTATCAGCCTCAAGTTCTGGTCATATTTCATCACAAATCATCAAGTGGTCTAATCCTTAACCGTAACACTGGTTTTACATCAAAAAGCGGAAAGAAAATTTGACTAAGGAAACATAAGTTTAATGGTATTTTGATTCTCCATTCCACTATTATTTAGTCTTTGAATGGGAATTTTCTTGTCAAAGTGTTGCGGTCGACTACATTACGACATACGTCAAATGCTCATTGGCTGTCAATGACCTATCCTCTTACCTTAAGAAGCAATAACTGAACCGCAATGAACCTTATTTATCCAATAAGTAAACGTTCACTTGGATGGTTATTTTTTTATAACAACAGAGAAATTGGTGAAATATTGGATTTCTCTACTAAAACCATTTTTCTGACTTTTTATTATTTTACTTGATTAGCAAAACATCAATCAGCAAAGGACCTAGCCCAACAGCTATTCAACATATTCGCAGTTGGAACGATTCTGCTAGCAATGATCATTGATGTGATACAGTTTTTCATAAATGTTGACAATCAAAAATTATGCACAAAATTTTTATTCTGCCTCATAATTATAAGTTGTAAGTGAAGTACAATTATTATTGCTTAAACCTATAAATAATCTAACATACCATAATTGGATTTGTAACAGAAGAGGGAGAAAGCAATCTAAGCGAATCTTCAGATTTGTTTGACAACCATCGGTAAAATTAGTTTACGGCTGTGAAATACATCCATTTACCTTATGGCGTTCCCACTTATCATTTTTCAAGCGAACAGCATAAAGCTTATTATATACACAACACTAGGAAGGCTATACGAAGAAAGATGCTCAGTTATAAGATAAAAGTCAGTCTGCTTTTTTACAGAATATTGTAGTAGTGTGTCAGTTACTTCAAAAAGTTTCTTATCACAGTAGGTGAAGTTGTTTTTTTTTTTTAAGAAATGATAAGCATTCGTTCGACTTACTGATTTTCCTTGGTAATCTTTTATATAACTGAAGAGGATTTTTCCCAGTATCCTGCAGGATAAAATTGCTTTTTGAATAGGATTCTTATTTTTCTCAAGTGAGTATTCTATATTGAAATATGTAGCATAGCTATTTGAAGCTTACTTTTTATGAATCAACTCCTCATCAACCACCTAAATGGTGCTTATTAAACGAACAGTTGATTATGTTGATGTTTGCATCCAACTGGACGGACAGTTGTTAAATCGGCCAAGTATTCTTAGATTCTTATGCACTTCAGAATTCAATACAGTAATTATTAGGAGGAATTATTTATTCAAGCATAAGACTTTTTTATAAACCTTTGTGATTCAAGCATCAGTATATGATCTCAGTGGGGGACTAGACAACTTCATTAGTAAGTAGGGTTAGTTTCATGGACACTCTTACCTCTGCAGAATCAATTAGAGTCGTTATCTTTTCATTAACAGTGACAAGAATTGTTTTTGTTTTTTCTGATAGATACGCTTAATAGAAATTGGGGGTGGTTGACTGACTAAAAGTGATACTGTTTCTTCGTAGTGTTAACAAATGTTCCCACTTTTGGAAAGAATCAATGCCGCTAGTCTGTCATACCCATTCAGTTGTTGAATGCATCATTTGAGAAATTTTTGAATGCATAGAGATTGTAAATGATGTCGAAAATATACCATAGAGAAGTGAAATTCAAATTAGCAGTCACTTTAGTGTTTTCAGGAAGTTTAATTCCACCGAAATTCTAACTTTTTTTATAGCTATATCCTGAATAACCTACGAACTTAACAATACTGCGTGTAAATGACTAATTAGATATGTTATTATGCCGTTTGAGCTCTCAGTAATTTTCGGTTCACAAGATTTTCGCTTCTTATATATATTCGTGTTGTCAATTTTCTGAAAAGTATTTTGAAAACCATTTAACACGATTAATCCATGTGAAATGCATATAATCTTGAGCACCAACAAGCAAAGTTTAAATATTTTTCATAATCGTAAACACTAAAGTCCATTTAAGGTCAGTTGATTGAATTGTTTCAAGAGTGAAATTTTGTGTTACTTGTGCAAGAAAATGAATATAATATGGAGATGAGTCTGATTCGTTGCTGTCACTCATTGAATACTAGTTGTTTATGAATAAAATTCAGACATTTTTCACTCCTAGTAATGACTTTCTGTATAAAAAATGAAAGATAGAAAACAGCTAACTGCGATTCAATGCTGATACTGAAGACAACAAATTTGACCAATATCTTCGAGATAAATTTTTCATGATCTCTTTTAAACACTGAAGGGAATTTCCATCGAATGCTGAAAGTAACATATAATTCAACAACATGCGAAAATCATGGAAAAATCCAATTTGCTCATTGCAACCAGTGAACTATTTAACATGTTTTTCTATCACCACAGCAACATATTGTTGAATGGTTTTGCATTTCTTACTCAAACAAACTGAAATCTTTCAAAGTTGCAGTGATCGGTTGTAATACTGCTTGTATTTGAAATATTAATAGACAAATCGTGTTAAACAAATACGAAAGAGATGAAAAAAGAAGGTAGAAATATTGATAATAAATAAGTCCCTGTAAATTGAATACGGGAGACATCTTTTTAACTCCTAGATCTACATCCAGTTAAACGAAATCCTAGAATAAGTGGACAGTAGCAGTTGCGCATCTTTTTTAATTCATTAAAAGTATTTCATTTTAATATGCATTATACTTAAATGAACATTTTGAACAAGATCATGCGGGAAAACCCAAGTCGATTAGTGGATCGAACAAGTTAGTCCGGAAATAGATTAGTTAAAATGTTCTTTACGTTAATTACATATACAGTTAGACTGACAGAAGATCAGTCAATCAACTTTATTATTCATAAACACCGGACTGTGTTTAGATATATTCTCCTTTTGTTGACTACTTCGAGTAGTCAGCCTGAATACATGTTCTTACATGTTTCACTGTGTCTTCTTCACTAATCAGTCGGGCTGGGAATCAAATAGGAAGCTGTAGACGTTGTTAGCTGACAGCCAATATTCGTGCATGGTTACCAACCATGTCATTTTGAAAGCATGTAACAAATTAATGACAATAGTAATGAAGTGATAAATGTTGTGTGGAAAAGCACTAATCTAAGTAGAATTTTACAATAGCAAAATCTATACAACTGAAATTATACGAACGTATTAATTCACTTTTAGGTTGATTGTAAACTTCAAAGTAATAAATTATCTAACGGTAAGAAGGGACTTGTTATTGGCAACATTAAAATTACCAGTTGAATTTTTAGCCTATGCTAGATTACTAATTTCATCTAATCTAAAATTTTGCTGAAATTTCACTAATGAAAACACTTATTTGATAACTTCCTTACAGGTTAATACTCACTAGAAATACGGGTATTCTGGGTTGTTTCTTCTTTCAGTTCTGAGAAATGTTATTGAAATTAAATGATATTTATTTGATAAAGTCCAGAGTACTTGATGGACATGTTTATTTTATGTCATTAGGATGCATGAACTTACCGAATGTTTTTATTCCCCAGTAACTTGAAACGTGACATATCCATAATCTCAGTGTGTTGCGTACTACTGTTAACACAAAAAAGGTGAAAGTTGATGCATTTATTTCAGAGTAGTGTTCATCACAGATTGACACGAGTTGGGCAACCATTGAGGATCTTGGAGCAGAGGATAACCTTTTCTTCTGGTACGGGACTCCTCAGCAGTAGGCACCCATGGATGCATCGGGGCTTGAAATCAAGACCTTCAGGTCATGAGGTAAACACGTTAGCCATTCAGCCGATGAGTCGGAGTTCAGTGGTTCACACTTTTTTACTTCTGACAACTCGCGATGAAGCGTGACTATCCCCTGATCTGCGACGCGCGGGGTCAAACAGTTCGGAGTGAACTGGATACCAAATGAAGAACTTGGGATGAAACAGCTGTCCAGTGCTTCTAAAGTTTCAGTGGTTTTCAACTGATGTCAGTTTGTGGTGAATATTACTTTAAAATAACTAAAATCCCTGTACACCTTAAACTAGTACATATTTATCCCGATTTCTCGGAAGTTTGATAGCATCATGAAATTCAACATAATTATTCGGATTTCAGAATAATATTTGGGGCGTAAATGAAGTTTGTTCTATTACGAAACATAATGCTTAACAGCCTGCTTAAACTTTGGGTTATCGGAATGTTCCATGAAGTATATTGCATCAAAATCCTTTTTTTCTTACTTGTTTTAATCATTCTAATGTCAACTAAGTGTAAAACATACTATCGCGCATTTTAAAAATGTCTTTACCCTATCGTTGGGCGCTTTTGAAGGCCACCCTAGAAACGGTCGAAATAACTAATCAGTTTTCAGTATTCCGGCTAGAAAAGTTGTTTTTCACAAAATATAGAAGCCTAACTCGTTATCTCAGTAGTTGCTAGAGAGACGTTCAAGGTAGCTCCGCATCTTTAGATGGGTTAACAACAAGACTAAAAGAAATTAACACAGTAGACAGTAGTTGGCCTGTGAACGCACAGCAGTGAATTGTATAGCTAATACATGAACACGGAGCTAGAAGAGCAAATTTTCATACTGAATGAATGAACCTCTACCATTGTAGGCTTTTCTATCTGACCTACCTGCGACAACATACAAAATAGATGATGACCAAAAAACTACTGGCTGCTATGCATTACTGCCTGTCATACTGTTATTATTAACATTATTTAACTGCCAAGTGGTGTTAGTTTGAAAATATTGTACAAGAAGTAAATTTGTTGAAATATAACATTCAGAACTGCAAACTGTACTCAGTTATTGTCTGGAATGAAGTGATTATTATTATTATTATTATTATTAGATACATTGTCCGAACATTCCAGAATATCAGGAAGAAAAGTATCAAGTAATGTCTAAATTCCACCAAGTGTAGCGGAAACAAATGTGTTTATCCGTTTTCTTCTATTTATTAATTTCAGTTGTTTTAGCAATTATTTCAGCAACATTGGCAAATACTAATTCATATATCTATGGATCGAAGCAAATACCTCATCCTTCAACATGCTTATTAGCTGGTAGCGCAATTATCTTTCTAACTTTTTTAATTGCTATTATCCCTTGTCTTGAACAGTAATATTATTAATCATTGTAATGAAATTCATTCAATACACAGAAAAAGAAAGATTTACTTATTTTGCACAAACATGAACAATAACAATCATAAACTATGCTCATTGAATTACAGTGGTTGTCAGGTACTATTTCTGAAAAGGCTTCTTTGATGTACTACTTTACGCAAAAGTAATTCACTGACTTCAGCTTTTTCATAAAAGATCAGTATTTCGTTCCCTGTGAAAAATTACCAGGAAATTATTAGATTTACTGACAGTATGGTTATCACATTGGCTAAACCGATTGATATTATGAGAAATTCCCTTCAGTTTTCTACTTCTTAATTAACTAAACTACTTCAAACGCTTTAAAGCTATATAAACGCAATATAATGACAGTAGCTAACTACCACTATTTGTTTATCTTTACATGCATAACTCCGTACTATTTGTCTGCAAACGAAGAAACTGATAAAACAGATTTACAAAAATAATGTTTTTGAAGTGTCACCTATTCAAGGGACAATATCTAGAATGTTTCTAAATCCCTATTTTCTTCAAAGGTACACTGTACTAACGTTTACTCTTTTGAAGACCTGATAGCCAAATTAAATTCTAAGCTTTGACACATGGTTCACATAGCATAGTTAGCACACTCATTCTTCAAAATGAAACTATCTGTCACCATACTTATTCCGAAATTTGTTCAATAAAAAATTTGGGGCCGAGCTTAAATGTGGCATAAAATAATGCAGCTGTGAGTTTTGATCTTTTTCAAAGAAAGATATCTTAAAGTAAGTTTAGTGCATCATATAATCTGTATAACAGTAACTTAATGTGACACAGTGATAGTGAAAATAATGGTATTTCAGTACATTTGATAAACTTGGAAGTCTTGATTGTCATGTAAAGTACAAGAAGTCTTGAAAACGTGTAGATATTTTCCTGGAAGTAGCTCATTTGTTAGCTTTTATTGTTACTGTAACATCATATACGATATCTACAGCGATACATGAGGTATCCATGGTTAAAACAGAAAAATTATCTGACACTTACAATCAGTAGTAACCCACAACACAAAGTGTAAGATTGCACTCTGCAGATAGCAAACCACGGTTATCAACAATAGGGAACCAATGTGAGCCAGTTCATGGAAAATTCAGTGAAACAGTTATCCGAAATCAGTTTATAAACTCTTACTCCAGTAACTTAAATATTAGCATTCTATTTAATGGCTCTTTATTGTATTTGTGTTTTAAATGTAGACAGAGATCGCTGATAATTTGAAAAGTCGATGATTTTCGTATCGAATATTCATTTCAAAGTTTCCAGTTTGGGGGTTCGTGGGGATTAATTGGTTTGATGTTGGCATTCATGCCGGCCTAAAACAGTTAGAGAACCATTGAAAACCTGGGAGCATTAAACGGTTGTTCTGCTTTAGTATGGGACTCCTCAGCATAACATTGATCCCACAAGGGATAGTCCTCTGAACTTTCACGTCTCAGGCGAACGTCTTGACCGTCACCCAATGCTAATGTTCAGTATTTGTCGTGATCATTGAGTTCTTACTTCTGAGGTGTCTCGTATTAGGGCAAAACAGATTTCTGGTACCCCAAGGTCTTAAATGGTTCTTTAACTCATGTAATTCCGTGATGAATACCATTCTGAAACTAATTCCTATATGCTTAGAAACTAAACTTTTTGGTTAAATCAATTAAATTTATGGTGCATTTGCTTGTTCTCAGACATACTGATGAGGACGACAGCCTAGACAGTTGATCAAAAATCTTCGTTACTTTCATTCTTTAAAGAGGACATGTAATTTCTGTGTAACAAATATTCAGGAAAATCGGTAGAGTAAGCCTGTACTCAATCTTTCGTTTTGGAAAAGCTGATATCCGTATGGTTATTCTGACTTAGCCACAATCGAAATAGCAAAATAAGATATTATTTTATTACTGAGAACCAGATAGTCACGTATATTTGGTTCCCGTGGTGATAACCATCATGTAATGTGAAGAATGTCCATTTGAAGCCAGTTTAAAATGGTATTAAAAATCTCGCAACCTGAGGAAAGTTATTAGCTGGTGATACTAAAAGGAATACTTAAACGTTTTTAAATAATGATCAATCATACGTATAAACATGAGAGTCAGACATTTTTCTGAAGTGAAAGATCGTTACGTTTAAGTAAATTACCATTACGCAGATGAGTCATTGAAATATCGAACGCCTTAGTAAGATTTTTCAGTGGTAGGCAATGGGATCCGAACAATTAACCAATGAAATACAGTGAGTTTTTATATACATTTTGCTCCTGTTGAATAAGAATTTAGCGAAGAAAACTGAAATACTGACAGAAAGGATATCTGTAACAACGGCCATAATATATCTGTAAAGTACTAGCTTTGGTAGAAATCAATTTCTCCAATCTGATCTGTCCCCTTGTTCAATAAACCAAGTTCACTAGGTACTTAGTCACTAACTAATTACTTAGGAACTTAACAGATGATGACTGATAAGCTACTCAAGCTTGCAGTTAACTTCAGTGAACTCAGATTTAAAGTAAAATATGTTATTACATTAACATCAGTGATTCCATAGCTACTTAGTGTATAAAATCTCAGTTCTTGCAGTCATTTATTTACTGCATGATTTTTCTGAACTACAATATGTTTATTTGTTTATTCGCTCAGAATATTTTCAGTCTGAAATCGTACTTTAAGTGATCATTGTCCATTAGTATGAACCTCAATATGAAGTCCTTCATTTGTTTTTAGGTTTTAGGGTAAGTTACTGAATAAACGCTCTTAACAACCTGTAACCAAACTATGTACTGAACTGTTTGTTATTCCACCTATCGACTGATGTATTGATTCATTATTTTTTCTGGGGGAAGTCAGGTTCATTCTCGATTATTATATGAGAAAAGAAAACAGTCGACGGTGTCATGTAAGGCGTCTGAGAAGAGTAGAATATACAAGGGGTTATCTGCTGGCATTTCCCCAGGTTAAACGTCAATTTATTGTTTTCAAACTGTAACAATGAAATCTTAGTATTTTTATTCATCATGTGTCCTCCTTGCACAAAATGTGTTTTTTCAAATTGACAAAATCCGCATAAAGAAGGGTAGAAGAAGTCAATTCGACAGCATCAACATAAGGGAACCGACGACGTCCTATCGTCATACATCCGATGATCTTGTCAAAGTTAATCGTGTTCTACTGATTTTGTCGGGCAAACGCTTAGAATGTAAGATATTGTAAAGAAGTAGACAGACTTTAAAAAAAGTATTTTTACATGAAAATATGTAGAAAGCGTTCACAATACCAAGGAGAAGAACATGAACAGAAACTGTAGATGGAATTAAGTCGTCCTTGTTTTGTGCTGGCATATGAGAAGACATTTTTAAAACATTATATTTTGTATTCGTTGGAACACGATATATACACTGTAACTAAATACTTGTTTGCAAATGACTTCCTGCCTATCTGCTTTGAATCTAGTGTAGTGGATGCCACCGATACGAATAGATATAAGTAGTATATGTTGAGAGGTTGGCAGAAATCATAGGCAATTACTAGGGACGGGGAAATATTCTGCCCAGAGAAACGCAAGAGACAGTGTGGCGTAGTAGGAGCAAATCGAGAGGAAATGAAGTACATTGTGTAAATGACTCTTTTAATGAAAAGTGCTCAATATCTCATCAGTACTGTACAGGATGTCAATGATAAACATTCTGTCCTGTATTTCAGGCTTTGTTGTTTCTTGCACTTGTGATTACGTTTACCGAAAGTCTTCAGTCATTATTTAGCGTTATCGCCTATTTCACAGTATCACACGAGATATAACTAGTGATATCGAAGATATTGAAAACTGCAAACATTTCAGAAACCTAGTCTGCATAGTTGGATGAAATACTTTCTATATCGACTACAGACTTTTCAAGTAACGACGTAGAGAAAGGGCTGTTTAGGACAAAGTATCTTTTCACATAACCATGTATCACGCTTTCATTACTCTCACGGTACTGGAAGCAGGTCCTAAAAACCAATAAAATCGAAAATTCTTCCTATTCTTCCCTATGAAGAATAGAATCGCAATAGTCAACTTTGGTATTCTTGGAGAGTGTTGAGCACCAAGTACGCTCTAGAATATAATAACGAGCAAAGTGTAATTGCATTCCGTTAGATAATAAATAGCTCTACATTTCTACTTCTTCAAATCTTTCCGAGACAAATTCATTCGATTTCCACTTTCATGCTGAGACTCAGTTTTGGTATTTTTAGACCACTTAAGCATCAAACTGCAATGTAGTACTATATTTACAATGTGCTTAGATGACCAGTGTACGGCAGTGTCATCTACCGGAAGTAGCACTCAACACTTTAGTTCTTTCTAGACTGGGTAGTGGCCCATGCAGCATGAATATCGTATTATCTCTGTAAAATATATCGGTGCAAGCTATTTGAATTTGATTCTGTTTCTACGCATCTTAGCATTGAATCCATCCCTAAGAAGCAAGATTTGATAGATGTTTAACAGATGTTTGCGGTTCTGCATCAGCAAAGTTTTTTAATCCAAAGAAAGATACTTATGAGTTTTCAGAGTCCAAATAATGTTGCTGACCACTCCATAAGCAATATCATTTGGAGAAATTATTGTCACTTTTTATATTGTTTGGGATACTGTGGCATAGTCAACGAATTCAGTCACTTCAGTGTTATTATTATTAGTCCCTTGGGTTCTTAATGGAACATAGTGCTTCACTAGCACGTCTTCAGTGAACTTTGTTCTCTGAGATCTTTTGAACCTCGCTCCACGACAGCCCACAAGCTCTCATTTCCTTCTTGCACGATCTCCTCCATGTCACTCTCACCTCGAACGCCCAACTCATCTCTTCCCATTGGGATTCCACTCGAGCAACTGGCCTGACGCGTGATGTCCCCAGTCGGCCTTCTCAGTGCATGCCCAATCCATCTCCACTTACTTCCACCGCATATTTGTTGGGTGATAGGTTCTT